AGATAGATAATGGGGTTGTTGCTTCCCCCTAAGATAGATTCTTAGATAGTAGGGCTGCCTCTTCTCCGGCGAGGTTGCTCATTCTCGGACGAGTTCAAGATGAACTAGAAAAAGTGACTGACGGAATGAAAAATTTCAGGTACCTAAAAATAGCAAAACCATGAATGATTTTGCTTTGTGCATCCTCAAAGTCCCGCTAGAAATTTGTGTTGTCATAGAAGCCATGCACATTTTTCATCATGTTAATACATCAACAAAATGCACAATAGCAGAAAAGAAGTGGACATACATCCTGAGAGTTGCTTTTGTAGTATGGGAAAATGCTTAGGAGCACCTAGCGGCGTAGCTCATTGAAATCTCACCAATAAACATGCATAGGGATTTGCGTCACTACATTGGGCAGGTTGTATTATGACTTTTGGTCAGAATTATGTTCAGGTATAGGCGTGGTACTGTCTTGTGTTTTGTCCATGGCCTGGCCCACTCCAGCCCCACCATGCATCTATTACCTGTACGAGCTCTACTGCCAACCATAAATGGTCTTACACTCTATTTACTACTCACGTTTTTCTCCACCATAACGTTTCTTTCTAAGCACACTAAACTCTTGTCCTCCATCATCCATTAGCAGTCTATCGTTAAATCTTTCTATACTAATGATGAATTAGCACTGAACAACCTATATGCCCCATAAGAGATTATATACGTAGTAATCTAACAGAACAACACTTGGTTCGATGTGCCTAACAAATAGATAACTGGGTTCAATATAAAAAGAACAATACTTAGATTGATATGCCTTAGAAATAGATAACATGGTTAGTGTTTGGTTTATCTGGGAGACAAACCAGTTCAAAGGAACCTAACTCATGTTTGTGATAGCTTAAACTAGTACTAGTACCGGCTTCTCACCAAACGTGTTCTTTAGAAAGAAAATTAAAATGAGTCATCTCCATTCAACACTGGTGTGATATTAATTGTAACATTTATAACTGACACATGCACCTTTCGGCATGCAAAGGCAGATGACATTAATTGAGAATGTTGACTCTGTGTGCCCAGACCAGTAGACCACTGTGTATCATCGTGTAATGAATATGTATCTGCAACCGGCAAATTCATTAAGCTTTTAATGCAGCCATCTTGATGCAGGAAGTCACTGACGCAAATATCAGGGTGCTGCGCCTCCGGGAGCCATTCGTCCGCCTCCTTGTATGTATCTATCATAATTTTGCCAATCTCTGCAAATATTTTACATTAGAGAATTTGCATTTCGCAGGTTCACGTGTGCACTGGAGAGGGCAGTACATATGTGGCTGTGGCATTCCATCGAAGAAACACTCTTATCACCACTTGTTGGGCAACGTATTTCCTGGATTAATTCCTGGCCATATTTTGATGTTTGATTAGTCAAGTCTTTCCTGGCGTGGAGATGTTTGCCTCCTTTCATCCACGTCCACTGGTGCATGTCCGAGCTCCTGTTGGAGTCACCACTCCCAGTCAGGCCGGACGTGTATGTATATGGCCATATGGGCCGGGGTGCGTCGCAGTGCCGTCCCGTAAGGTGAGTCAGGCGACTATGATCAGATGATCGCTACACCTATGGCGCAAAACAGGATGAGATTCTGGAGAAAACCCATATAAATTCCCAAGGGTTCTCGTTCCTTATCGCAAGAGAAGAGATATACCTCCAACTCAAGTACTCAAAAATGGCAGCAGCACCATCATATGCCCGCATTCCCATCATCATCATCGTCCTACTTCTAGCACTCTCGGCCACATCTGCTTCTTCATTCTCTCCGAGTCCGGCCAACGGCAGCGACACAGACCTTGGGGCGTTGCTGGCTTTCAAAGCCCTGCTCGCCGACCCTCATGATGTCCTTGCCGGCAACTGGACCGGCACGTCTTTCTGCCACTGGATCGGCGTCTCGTGCAGCCGCCGCCGGCAGCGCGTCACTGCTCTATCGTTGTTGGACACACCTCTTGCTGGACCTATTGCTCCCCACCTTGGTAATCGCTCTTTCCTTTCCACCCTTAATCTCACCGGCACCAACCTTACGGGCTCCATCCCTCCGGAGCTTGGCAGGCTACGCCATCTTCGATATCTTTCTCTTCGAGAAAATAGCCTGTCGGATGCCATTCCTATTGCCCTAGGGAACCTCACAAGGCTCGAGGTCCTTAGTCTGAGTTTTAACCAACTATCGGGTCAGATCCCCCATAAGGTGTTTGTTCGTTTGAAGAAACTTGAGAGGATTTCTTTGACTCAAAATGACTTGAACGGCCAAATACCCCCGTATTTATTCAATAGCACGCCTTCCTTAAAGTACAGATACTTTGGTAGCAACGGACTCTCGGGAATGATCCCTCCTGAGATGCTACTACGTTCAAACAGCCTTAGAGAAATTGACCTGGGTGGAAATGGTTTGAGTGGCCAAATACCACCCCATCTATTCAATAACACGCCTTCCTTAAGGGCCATCTACTTTAACGACAACAGCCTCTCGAGCCAGATTCCTGCTGAGATGTTGTTGCATGTGCACAAACTGGATAGCATTGGCCTGAGTAATACTTACTTGAGTGGACAAATACCACCCTATTTGTGCAATAGCACCCCGTTCTTGATGTTCATCAACTCAGCAACCAATAACTTATCAGGTCCCATACCACACGGCATTGCCTCCCTATCCAAACTTTAATACTTGCAGCTGCAGCACAACCAGTTCTCCGGCCTACTGCCACAAGCCATATACAACATGTCCATGCTGCAGTTCATGCTATTGTACAACAACAACCTTACTGGTACGATTCCAGACAACAGTAGTTTTAGCCTCCCCTTGTTGTACTCTCTTGAACTCTCTAACAACAAGTTCAGCGGCCGGATTCCTTCAGGGCTTGCATCATGTCAGTACCTAGACTATCTGCGATTGGATGGCAATTATTTTGTGGATGTTGTGCCATCATCGTTGGGTAAACTTCAATACCTCAAAGAGCTATCCTTGGCTGAGAACAATCTCATTGGTTCGATCCCAGCTGCACCTGGCAATCTCACTGTTCTTACTCTCCTAGATCTCGATGCCTGCAACTTTGAAGGACACATTCCGTCCAAATTAGGACTACTGCAGAAACTCTCCTATCTACATCTTGGCTTTAATCAACTTACTGGTCCAGTTCCACCTTCCCTCGGAAATTTATCCAAGTTGTCTCACCTATTTTTCCACGTAAATAATTTATCAGGCTCACTACCACCAACACTTGGGAATATTGTAGCTTTGGAAAATCTTGCACTACAAGACAACAATTTTGAGGGAAACATTATGGAGCTCTTGTTGGCTCTTTCTAACTGTAGAAACATGGAAGTGATTAGCGGATATTATAACTTTTTCACGGGTGCCCTCTCTGACCATGTGGGAAACTTCACTTCACGATTATTCACTTTCCTTCTAAGTGACAACAAGTTAGTAGGTGGACTTCCGGCCGCAATTTCAAACTCAAGCAATCTTGAAGTGTTAGATCTTTCTTACAATCTACTCACCGAGTCAATCCCAGAATCAATCGTTCTGCTCAGGAATCTCGTGTTGCTTGATCTCTCTAGTAATGACATGTCAGGCATTATCCCAAAAGAAATGGGAATGCTTGGGAGTCTACAAAAGTTATTTCTCGATGGAAACAAATTATTTGGCTCCATACCAAGTAGCTTTGGTAATCTTACTATGTTAGAGCAAATTGACTTGTCAAATAATCAATTAAATTTAAGGATACCTGCAAGCCTATTCCACCTTGATAAGCTTATCAAACTCAATATTTCTTACAATTCTTTTGATGGTGCACTACCATCGGATGTTTCTGGTACAACACAAATGTACCAAATGGACCTTTCTTCCAACTTCTTGATAGGAAGCATCCCAGAATCAATGGGTCAACTTAAAATGATAACGTACCTAAATCTATCACACAACTCGCTCGGAGGCCCAATGGGAGACTCATTTCAAAAGCTAAAGAGCTTAGAATCATTAGACCTCTCCTTCAACAACTTCTCTGGCACAATTCCTATGTACATTGCAAATTTTACCGACTTGATTACCTTGAACCTCTCATTCAATAGCCTAGAAGGCCAAATACCAGAGGTTGGTGTTTTCTCAAACCTCCCATTGCAATCTTTGATTGGGAATGCTAGGCTATGCGGTGCTCCTCGCCTAGGATTTATCCCATGTGTTGGTAAATCTCATTCAAGTAACAGACACTTGCTACTTGTTATACTCCCAGTTACCATTGTAGCTCTTACCAGCATTGCTATTTCCTTATGCCTACTAATAAAAAAGAAAAAAAAGCACAAGGGAGCAGCAGAAACTTTTGTTGATCCAGTGGATGGCATAGGCCATCAGATAGTCTCCTACCATGAGCTCATTAGGGCCACAAATAACTTCAGTGAAGATAACATGTTGGGATCTGGAAGCTTTGGGAAAGTATTCAAGGGTGAAGTGGGTGGTTCGGTTGTTGCAATAAAAATTCTTGACATGCAACTAGAGCAGGCTGTGAGAAGCTTTGACTCGGAGTGTCGTGTTCTTTGCATGGCGCGGCACCGCAACCTGATACGGGTACTCAACACATGTTCCAACCTAGACTTCAGGGCACTTGTGCTTCAATACATGCCGCTTGGCAGTTTAGAGACGCTACTACACCGGTCTAGTACATTGCACTTGGGGTTCCTAGATAGGCTCGACATCATGTTGGATGTGTTAATGACAATGGAGTATCTACACCATGAGCACTATGAGGTGGTTTTGCACTGTGACTTGAAACCGAGCAATGTGTTGTTTGATGAGGACATGACTGCACATGTGGCAGACTTTGGCGTTGCAAGATTGCTCCTAGGTGATGACAACTCCATGATTTGTGAGAGCATGCCTGGAACAGTTGGCTACATGGCACCAGGTACTTAGCTAGCAGCTATTAAATCATTGCCTAATTATGGTTAACAATACAGAGTCTAATCTTTGTTTCTCTGTTTGTTGGAAAAGCAACAAGGAAGAGTGATGTTTTCAGCTACGGGATCATGCTTCTTGAAGATTTCACAGGAAGGAGACCTACGGATGCTATGTTTAATGGAGAATTAACCCTTAGGCAGTGGGTTCACCACGCGTTTCCTGCAGAGCTTGTGTGTGTCGCGAATGACCAGCCATTGCATGGTTCCTCTTCTAGATGCAACTCGGCTGATGAATTTCTTGTGCCTGTATTCGAGATAGGTTTGCTCTGCTGCAGCGACTCACCTGACCAGAGAGTGACGATGGCCCTGTTTGGATACTCTAACTCAGTTAGAGGTTAGAGTTAGATTCTACTCCCTCCGTAAAATTAGTACAAAGTCGAGTCATCTATTTTGGAACGGAGGGAGTAACTCTGAACTAACCCTGAACTAACTCTAACCAAAGAGGTGTTTGGATGGCAGGGTTAGATGGAGCACGGATATGGCGAGACGCCTTCACGGGCGATGTGAGAGGGAGGGAGGGAGAGGACGAGAAGCTTCGAGAAAGTGAAGAGGGATCTGCTGCGAAAAGAGCTAGAGAAAAAGGTGTTTTTAGTGGTCCCAAGAAGAACTAACCCAAATAAACACCTCTTGGGTGGGTTAGTTTTTTTGGATGGGTTAGATGCATCTAACCCAAACTAACCCTCCTGTTTGGATACTTTTGGGTTAGTTGAGTCCAAACTAACCCAAACTAACTCTAATCCATGGATCCAAACAGGGCCGATGACCGACGTGGTTGTGAGGTTGAAGAAGATCAAAGCAGAGTACACCAAATGGACCGCAATGACAGCACGTGGTGAAGCACAGTG